TGTCCCATGATGGGCTCAGTTCTGCCTTGAAGGCTCCTGTGCAAGGACCATTCTCTGCAGCTGTGTTTTGCTGTATGCAACAGTTTGAAGAAATGCTGAAAACCCTGAACCAGTGATGCATTTCAGGAGCAGCTCAGCAGAGCAGAGCACAGAGAAAAATTACACGAGCAATGTGGTAGCAAGACAATCGCAGCCGCATGAGAAGGGGAGACTGATGCCCATCGCTGTCGGCTGCTCCAGAGCTGCTGCAGATCCCTTTTGTGGGATAGGCCTGTGTGATCCCAGCACGGGATCCCTGCTCGGTGCAGGGAAGGGACTTAGCAGGGCTCTGGGTGCTTGTGCAGAGACCTTCCTTGTGAAGGCCATTTCCATGTGTCTTCCAAACAAAGTCAAACCCATAAATTATTCTTCAATCAGAAGCAGCTGGTTCACATCCCAGTCCTCTACGTACTCATTTGTCATGCTTCTGGGAACTGAAATATGATTTGCTATACGGTCCCATTCCCATAATCACCAATGGTTTTCAAACTCATTCCATAAACAACCTGCAGGCTTGCCTGTCCTCCTTTGAGGCATCCAAATCCCTATAAAATCAAGAGTTTGTGGGGTGCGTGCACCATGATGGGATGTACAAATCCATCTGCATCTCTCCACACCCAGCTAATGTGGGTTTTTATAGAAAAAAGCCACCTTGTGAATGACAGGCTCTAGTTTCCCTGGGTTTGGTACCAAAAGGGCTGGCTGGTCCCACGTGCTTGGATGTTTGTGCTTGAAGGTCGCTCTCCATATCTGTGCTAGGAATAAGCGTCATGACAAGTGCAAGAAAAGCAAAGTTGTCCTGAAGTTTATTTACGGAGGAATATTTTCCCTGATGAACCCTGAACATTCACGGCCCTTGAAGTGAGTCATTCTCAGAGCACTAAAACAACTGCAAAACAGTGAGGAAGAATTTGAAAAGGAGACAGTTCATAAGCGAAGGTCACCGAGGAGAGCAAATGCCACCTGAGCCCAGGTTCTAACGAAGCCTTACAAGCCTTTTTCTGGTGAAACAAATGAAGTCCCTTAATTACCATTTTGTAAATAAAATCTTCTTGGAAAATCAATATTTAGAGCCTGCCCTCTCTGAAGATGTTGGCCTTTGTTCCTTGCTATTACAGCAATATAAACCCCATAGTGTGATATACTTCTAGGCCGAAAATTACCCCCTGAACCTGATTGGGTCAAAGGAAGAAAAGCAATAAACCTTTCAGAGCAGTAATTCGGGCACTATTTCATGCTTCCTTGTAAATTTTGCAGTAATAACCTAGAAAGCATGATTTTACACAAGCCCACAATTAACTCGGCCAGTAACTGCCCCTTCCTCCTGCAGAGATACACCTGATTTCAGGCCAGGCGGGTGATGCCGGGTGGGAATTTTGCTGGAAAAGCCTATTACACCTCTCAGGCATTTGGGTCATGATCGATCTGAATCACCCCTGGAAAAATACAGGCAAAATGCCGTCTCTGATCAACAGAGAAGGACAGATCCTGTGGCTCCTGGACATGGGGATGGCTCCACTGAAGTCAAAAAGGCTCTATCAGCTTCTCGATCTGAGAGCACGGTTTAGTGCAGCGTCACCCCAACAGCTATCGGCTCCATCCCCAGCCCAGGGACTGCATAGCAAGGCAGCCCCATCATCAGCTCCTTCAGTGATTTTTATTCACAGTTTTTAATGGAAAAACCCACAATTCCCTATGCCTGAGCCTTCATGAATTTTTCATTAACAATTATCCGCTATCCCAGAACTGCTTTTGCTTTTTGCTAATCATCGATTGGATATTTTGTTCCCACACAGCTGGCATTTTCAAAACATAACAACCACCTCTGGAGAGGGCACAGCAGAAGGCTGATCTTTAATGCTAATGTGCCCAGAAACCGTCAACACATCAGGTGATGAGAATTCACATCTGAGGGACCATGGGGGAAGAGGCATTTATCGGACGTAGCCCGTGAGACTTATTTTACTGTGCTGAAAGGCTGAAAGTTGCTTGGCAAGCAATCATCTGATGTCAGTAGCCAGATCCAATTCGCAGTGAAGCTAATCCTGAAGCTGCTGTCCCACCTTAGTGACGATGGGCTTCTGAAGTCCCCCAACCTTGAGGGTTTGCAGTTACTGCATATGGGAGACAGCGTGGGGTGGGGTGACGTAGATGCCAAAGGGCCCTTCACAACTTTCTGAAGCAACAGTTTGATGGACAGATCTTCCCATCAGCTGTGGGCTTGTGCAGACAGGCTACTGCCCGCAGGAGGGATGCCTCAAGCTTGCAGGAGCAGAGAGGGATCTCGAACACCCCGTGTTCTGCAGGTCTGGACCTCACTTCTGGCTGTGTTTGTTTACAAGAACGAAGTTGCTCATAATGACACATTTTGCAATCAATTAGCACATGATATGATTTGGGATGATTTACTCTTTTTTTCTAAAAATCCCTTTGGGGGCATTCAGACCTTTATTGCCATATTAAGCAGAGTTTTAATCCAAATGAATTTTCTAGGAAACCATGTAATCTAATTAGAAAGCTCATAGTGCAGTTTAGTAGCTTCATTACTAGTAGATTTGAGATCCATCTTTACACGGACAAATATTTTCCAAGTGCAATAGACTGATGAATCCAAGGCATAATCACAAACTGATTCTGCCTGGAACTAAGTGGGTTACAGCACTTAGTCATGCCCATGTGAATGAAACAAAGGACAACTTGAAAAAGCTCAGAAAAAAACCCAGCCGCTGGTCTGTTTTCTCCAATTCATGGAGCACCCAGCCCTGCTGTACCAGCGAGGGCATTTTTCAGACCGACAGCTTTGGAAACCATCAGGCATGGCCACTTGACTGAAGTTGGGGGTCAGAGTAGACCAAGACTAGTGCTAAAGAAGCCAAAAGTTCAACACGGTCAAGTATGATGGCCTTAGGGCTCAGCTTTACAATCGTGTTACTATAGCTTGAGAAGATGCCACGTGTCAGCTGAGCCCCAGTAACTGGCTGAGCTTCCCCAGCCTGTGCCAGATGCAATGTAATCTGATCATCGAGCTCGCAGTGGAAAAGACTGACACTAAATTGCATTAAATGATTCTCATAAGAAAACAATTACAGCGATGTTCACCAAGTCACAGTTCACATGCACATGTAGTGCAGCTCCAGGCGCAGGGACCTGGCCAGGAGACAGGCCCATGACCAAAGACACTATTTTTACTTTCCTCAAACAGTGAAGAGGAATGATTTCACAGGCAAGACATCTGGGCGAGACACAGGGCTGGATTCAGTGTGAGTTTTTTCATGGATTTAATGACTGCTTGTAAGGTCTTTGGTCATTTTTGACTCTGCTTCTTGGCCAATAAAAGGGGATGCACTAACTTCCCTTCTCCCATTTCTGCTCTGTTCATATCATAAGGGCAGACATGCCTCAGAAGCCCATGCAATGGACTAGAAGACCATGAGCCTGGATTAAAATACGTCAGTGCACACGTGAAGTTCCCCGAAGCTCTAAAAGCTTCCAGCTCGGAGAAGATCGCCACAGATTGAGAAGATTTTGTTACAATTCACACCTTATCCTTCTTGCAACTCACATCCTTCTCTCCTTCATATAACAAAGCTTTAAAAAAGCCTCACACCTCAAAAGCCGTATTATAGAGAAACTTAAAAAAATAAAATCGCTCATCTCTCTCGAGGAAAAATCCATGGTGCCTGCACAGCACTTCCCAACAGTCTAAACTGAAGGTCTGGACCCTCCAGCGAGGTTGGGTAGTTGTATTCATGAGATGCATTTATTAACACAGATAGCAGCTATATAATACCACAGTAATACCACAGAGTACAAATCTTTGCCAATAACTCTAGGTTTACAACACAGGTACTAGTCTTTTTTGGTATACTGTTCCATGCTATTTCCATAGAAACTATGCTGTCAACTTGTAATTTTCACACTAAGGGCATCCCACCATATTACCTCCTCAGCACAAACATCCACATCCCCTCACATGAAAATGCAGTTTAGTACTCTGAGAAAACACTCTCCACCAGTGAGATAAAAGACTGAAGTTTAGTGAAAATCAGCTTCTACACAAATATTATTTCAAATGTATTTGCATTTGCACATCCAGGCAGGTCAGTGTTCAGGGATTAAAGTGTAGTTCCTCCACTGTGGAGTAAATGTGGTCCCTGCCAAGTCCAGGGACATTTGACCCTTCCAGAAATACCCAGATGATGATCAGAACTGAAGACAAACTTTTGCTGGGTACCTGCATCATCAGTCAAAGTCTAATGCTGATGTCTTGGTACAATAAAGCACAAAGCGCTGAAATGTAAGCCTACAAAGTGCAGCTCATAGCACTGGAGCCCCAGTTAAATCCACAGACCTGCTTCTGAATGTTACCCCTGAAAGCCACCACCTCTTCCACTTCCCTTTCCATTGGAGGGCAGATAGTTCAAAATGATGGCTTTTAATTCAGACTCCCTCAAAAGCAGAGTGAGGGAACATTGCATCAGCCTGAAGGAGATTGTGACAGCAACCCACCCTGCCTGCAAAAGCCAAGCCAGCTCTGAAGCACTCCCTTTGCAGCAGGGCTGCAGTCTCTCTGGATCACTCCTGCCCCTCTGGGCCTTGAGCACATGAGCCATTGCCCAGCGCAACGGGGCTACGGTGAAAGCAGGGTTTGCACTGCTCACCAGGACGTGCTGCAGACCCCCCTGCTCTCTGCCAGCCTTCACCAACCGGTCCAAAATGAGCTACTGCACACATCCGCCTCAAATCTGCTGTCTGTGCAAAAGCTGAAGCCTGTGTGAGCCAACCTGCTCTTTGCCCAAGAATGACGCCTGCAGGGACAGTTACTTCTAGACCACCAGGTAGGTAATGCCAGTCCTCCACGTGCGCAGACTGATGCTGGGGAATGGCACAACCCAGCTGTGTGTCTCACCCTGCCCTCCACCCCGCGCTGCAGTGCCAGCGGCCAGTGCACGAGGACTTACCTGTTGTTATTCTTCAGCTTGATGTGGTCGCTGGTCTCCAGGATCTGCCCGTTCCTCAGCCAAGTGATCTGGGGGGGTGGTTCCCCTTGGGCCACGCACGTGAAGATGGCAGTAGTCCCCACAGGCCTGGAAATGGACTGGGGATGCTGCACAAACTCTGCGGGGGCTGCAAGGAGAAAGGAGAAGGAAGGTGAGAAAAGTCACGATGATCCCACTTTACCTTGGTACAAAGAGTAACTTTGTAGCTTGAGCTTCAATAAGCCTCATCTGCCTGGGAAGGTGGGATGCTTGGCCAACCCACAGCATAGGCAGCAGATAACTATGGTTTGGATGATGTGTCTGCAATCAGTGCAATTTGGTTGCCCATCCTGGCAGTCATGGCTTCAGAGAAAGCACCTGAAGGTCAGCTCAGTACTGTATGGAGAGCCAAGGTGGGGCCTGCAGGGTTCAGGCAAACAGCAACAGGGTCTAAGCCCACTCACCTCTCCCCAGTCTCCCACTGAAAGCAACCCCAATGATGCAAAATAATCCATGTCTGACAAAGGCTATTTAAAAATGCATCCTGCCTGTTAGGGGAGCAGGCTGGAGGGTGAGCAGTCTCTGGTCATTTGCACACACATACAATGGAAAGTGTGCATAACCTTTTGTAGCACGTGGCACCACACAGGGCCACTGCCCTGGCAGAAACGAGCCCTCTGATATGGGGACTTTGAAAAATCAGCATGTACTGACAGTATGAAGAGTAGTGAGGAAGGAAGGCTGTAACTACATGCATCAATTATAGCGTTTGTGGTTGGGAAGATCTGCTCTTTCATCAATGGCAGAGCTAGAGCAATGTCTCATGGCTTCACCCAAAGGACCCATATTGCATTAGCAAACTGCTTGCAGACGGACAGAAATGTATGGATGTGCATACACCAATCTAGCAGGTTGTTCTTTCCCCAGTAAACATCAGATTTGCTGCAGGCTGTCCTGGTAGCAATAGATTGGGGAACCTTTTTTACCCCAGATAGGTAGCCTGGGACCCTTGGGGTCCTGACAAGCTGGCAGAAGACTCCACCATCCCTGTAACTGCTGCTCACCTTGTAACCAAATGTTTTCACCTTTAAAAATAACGTTTTTAAACAGAAAGTGATTTCCCCCCTTCCAGCAGCTCAAAACAGATTTAAAATAATTTCTCAGAATAAACCAGCGTGTCAGCCTACAGAAAGCAGGGCCTGAAAGACAGTGCCAAATAGGTGAGTTTATTCAAGCAGTTACGCTTCAAAGGGCAAAGTGATAAATATACTTCATGTTGCTGCTGAAACCTAAAATCAGGTGGATCTGGCAGCAGCCGCAATGAAGACAAACAGATAAGAGGCACGGGCCCATAATGAATTTACTGACTAGCATCACATAATGGATGGCTGGTGTTAAATTTTTCTGACAAAAGCAAGATTATCCAGGGAAACACGCTCAGGGCCACTCGCTGGCATTTTCCAAGCATGGGGTTGGTGGGCTTTGCCACCAGCAGAGATGCTGGGATGGGAGAAGGGCGCAAACCGAGCCAGCAAAATGTGTTGAGGGGTGGCCAGGCTGCAGGCAGGAGCAGCTATGCCAGAGTCGAGACCTTGGTGGTTCGTGGCCAAAAACCCCTCAGGGTTTGCTGCAGGAGCACGGGGTGATAAAGCTGCGTGCACGCAAGGCACCAGCAGCACAACTCCTGCAAAAAGGCCAAAGCGCAGTGCGAGGTGTGTGTGTGTGTAAGAGCAAAGTCACATACATTTTAAGTCCTGCAAGCAGAAAAGACAGAGAAATTCATTGAAGAGCCCTTCTACCTCGAAGGAGCCCCCTCTACCATTTTTTAATAATCAAAGGGAAGCGGAGCATGGCAGGTCTGACTTATGTTAGCAGTAGGGGGTGTCCGCCGGCAGAGTTTATTGTCAGGCCACTTCTGCCAGTGCTTGGGTCTACTAATGAACCTGATCTCAGCAACCTAATGGACACATATTTCCAGAACCTCCTGCTAAACTTCCCCAGGTGCCAATCGATTCCTTGTCTTTCTTTTTCCCTCCTACATTCCACACACACACACACACACCCCCTGCCTTTATTTTTTTCCCCCTCTAGACTTATAAATGGAAATAAAATTCAGGATGGGTTCAATAAAAGTTGGAAGCATGGATAAGCAGGGGGAAAAGCCCCTCTTCCCTGCAGTGAATGGTCCCTTTGTGGCATACAGTGAGAGCATTAGAGACTTGATTTTCAAGACTTCCTTAACCTCCCGCCCCCCTCTTTGTGCTGGTGCAGTTTTGCAGGAGCAATTATTTTGCAAGTGGCTGTGCACCTCCCTGCTTTCATCTGGGCTCACGAGTTGCACCAGCAGTACTCGCAGGTGCAAACCCAGGATGCCAAGGAAGGGCACAGCGATCTTCCAGCTCCTTGCTGCTGCTTCATTAAAGATCCTGCCGTTTGGCTCTTTGCCTCCGCCTCCCCCCTCCCCTTCCCCCCCTTCACTAAATCTCAAACCCGCCATTTGTTCCAGCAGAACCAAAGTTTAAACATGGAAAGAAGCATCCGGCGTAACCCTTCTGGAATCACCGGCTCTCCTTATCCTCCCTTATTAGCCCGTGTCAAGAGGGAGTAATTGGAGCTGTGTCGCGTGTGACTCGGGGGTGACGAACGTGCAGCTGCGGCCGCTGGCCCGGCGCCAGCGATGCTATTCAGGACCACGGCCCCTTGGGTTCCTCAGGTCCCTGCTCCCCTCTGCCGTCCCTCCTCTTCTCTGTCTCGCTAAACACAACCAGATCAAAACCCCGGCCCCTGTTTAACTTGCTTAAACTCTCTGGGGAGCAGGCGGCCGCTCCTTTGAACGGCTGCCACCTCTGCTGTGTCGAGCCGTCCCTGCTCGGTGGCAACCCTCGCTGCAAGACACGGGATGCCCTTCTGCTGCCCCTGCTCCTCCTGGATTTCTCCAGGCATCGCTCTGTCCCTACTCATTTTGGCGCAGAAGGAGCGGCAGTGTGGAGCTGGAGCAGCAAAAGGGCCCAGGCCGCAGGAGAAACCCGTGGAGTTAAAAGGTTTCATTGTCCCCAACACCAGCCTCTGACAGCATCAGAGAAAGGACGTGGTCCGGGTGCCAACAGGGTCTTAACATGGGGACAGGCACGCTGCGAGGAGATGCTCCTCTGCTACCCTGGACTGGGCGCACCCGAGCCGGTGTTCGTACCAGTGTCCCCAGTCAGGGTGCCCTGAGGCTGCTGGTGCGTGCTCTCAGGGCGAATGGCTCCTTCCCGGGACAGAAGAATGTCTGCTCTGCTCCTCCCAGGTCCCCTCCCTGCCCTTTCAAAGGATTTCGACAGGAACTGAGAGTTTGCCACCTCTGGCCCTGGGTTAGCGGGAAAGGAGCAGAAGCGAAGCCCTGCCTTCTGCCAAGCCCTTCACCCCTCTCGTCATTCATAATTAATAGAGCATCTCATTAGTGCTCACCTCACCCTGCACGGAGCTGCTGTGGTCTGAATGCCTCTCCCCCTTCCACACTACATGCCAAAAGGCCATTGCTGGCAGCAAGAGGAAGCACATGTCAGCCCCCCATGAAGGTCTTAACAAAAATATTAACACAGATCACTGTTAAAAGCAGAGGATTCAAACCTGGCAAGGAGGAGCGTGCAGGATCCAGCCCCGGCTTGTAAAGTATGAAGAAACTAGAGTGTTGATTATTCAGGACTTAATGGGAGGGAGGGGATCATGCAGTTTTAATGAATATTTAAAGGCGTGACATTGGTATCAAAAAGCAGTAATACCATCCCAGAATTGTTAACAAAGTGCTTCAATAGCTTTTACTGTGCTCAACAAACTGCGATAGCATGAAGATGCACCGTAACAGCGGGGTACCAGGAGACCTGGACGGGCTCCATCTCTTTAGGGACATCTCAGCCCAGCAGTGACCCACCATCAGTCCTCTCCCAAGGTAACAGGGAGCTTTGCTGCCCTGCTGCGAGTTTGTGGTGTGGTGCTTATTGTGGCACCCGACAGCTCACCGAGAAGGGCTGTCCTAAGGATCAGGGAGCACCGACAACCGACACACCAGAGCCAGATAAATCCCTGCCCCGTGCACCTCAGTACGAAGCTGCCTTTAATTCTCAAGCAGCCAGAGTGGCAGGGTGAGGAAGGGAGGCTGAGGTGAGAAGGAAGAATAACATGGAAGCAACAAAACCTCATAAATTAGGGTTACCAGAACCTACAATAAGGATATAAAGGAGAAGACAGGTCAACAGGCAAATCAGTCAAGCACAGCATCAGAAGACAGAAGATTTAAGACAAAGAACTGCTGCCCACTTGGCTTCTCTCCATTGACTACAGAGGATGCCCAGATGCTTATGTGAATAACTTCAATAGTAAAGTTGCAGAGCTGGTGGGATTGCTAGGGCCAAAGATGGGACCTGGGACTGTGTCCCCTGGGAAACCAGCAGAGACCACTCAAGGGAGGCTCTCATGGAGAGTGACCCTCAGCCTTTGGTGGGCATCATGAAATTCTTGTCCTGGCAAGTTGCAGGCTGGAGCTCTGCAGCAGCAGGACATGTTCCCACATCACCTACCAGCATGTCCCTGGGAGGATGCCCTGGAGGGCTCAGGCACTCCCGCTCACCCCAGCATCCCGACGGACGAGATCCGAGTGCCCACCTGTCCCTGTGTGGTGGCTTTTCTTGAGAAGGAAAACGTGGGCAGGAAGGAGACTACTCCATGGGGCTCACTGACCCATGCAGCACACACTGAAGCTGATTTTGCAGCATGAATTTAGGGCTAAACTCAAGGACAAACCAAGTACCACAGAGCCAAGCCTAAAACACAGCAAACTGCAATACATCTGCTGCTGAAATTCAGCCCCGCAGCCAAGGCTTGCAATGCCAGTGAGCAAGAACGATGGAAGAAACATCAGGAAACGCAGCGGTGGCCAGATCTGCTGGACCAAGGAGAGCTGCCCGGTTCTGCCGGCAGAAAGCAAGGCAAACAAGGCAGTCATTGTCAGCAGAGCCTTCAAAAACATGTCCTTAAGATGGGCACTCATTTATGAGATGGGATCTCATTTTTCTGCATAGCTTTCAGGAGGAAATGAAGCGTGGAGTGGAGAACACTGGTGACCATCTGGCCATTCACAGCCCATCAGTTTGTTATGACACCAAACACATAATAAAGCACAAAAGATTGCACAGGAGGTAGAGAGAGAGCGCTTTGATATATTTTTTTTTTTTTCCTTGCCACCGAAGCCTGCTCTTCCCTCGCACCACACGCACGCACACCCTCCGTTTCAGCCGGCGATGCATTCGGCCCTTCGACAACTCCCCCCGTGAGACTTTCATTCGCAGCCCAGCACAAAGCAATATTCAAATGGCTGCGCCAGGATCTGAAGAGAAAATGGAAACTTTCTTGTGTGAGAACCTTACAAAAGAGATCAAAGGAGCCTAAATGGCCAGGGGAGGGCAGGGAGGGAGGGAGCGGGGGATTGATGCCTTTTCCTCTGAAGGGAGGAGGAATTCCCAGGAAGATAATAAGAGGGCGTTAGATGATCTGAAGGAGAGCCTGCAATGGGAAAGGACATTACTGCCAGAGCAAGAGCAGAGCCCTGCGCCGGGACACCTCTGCCCACGCGGCTGCTGTGATGGGGAGGAGGACCACCGCTGGCAGCAGGAGGGAGGACGTGGTCTCAGTCCCAGCCTCCCGCTAACTCCGTGCCTTACAACAGGAAACATCGCCCTTTCTCTCCCAGTTTCCCACCTATAAAACGTGCCTCCTTCAAAAGACGCAGGGCAAGTTAATTTGTGCCTGCAGGCACTTCAAGAGCCCCTGCATAAATGCAGCAAGTACCTGGCCTGGCGTGCTTTGAGGACGCTGTATTGTCCTAGCCCTGTACTAACTTCCTCTCCAACCAGGCTTTTGATAGCCCGCTCTTTGTTTTTATTCTCTTTACGGATGTAATTTGCATTGCTGACATCTTGACAAAGATAAAACCCACGGTCTCCCATGTCAGTCATTATTGCTGTTTTCTTCCCAGACAAACCTGAACGGCAATCATTTGTACCTCTCAGCTGGAAAATTCAGGCGAAATGAGATCCAGAGGAAGGAAAAGCTGCTTCCAGAGGGAGGGTGAGCAAACCTGGGATGAGCCCAGCTGCCTGGCCAGGGTCTGACATTACCTTTGCTGGGGAACAACAGCACCTCCAAAAACATGAAGCATTTTATGGATGGGCAACACCAGGGTGGGGTCCTGGACACTGCAGCTCATGTCAAAGGACGCATTGGCCACACTTCTCCGTACCACTGCCAACTTCTCTGCTAATGCTGGATGCAGGAGCATCCCCCTTCCACAGCGAGGCTGGGCTCCAATGGTCCCGTGATTACCATTTTAGGGCCAAATTCTCATCCTGGTTCCCTGGGTGAAAATCCCCAGTAATTCCACCCCAGATGAACTCCAACACTAGACCAGCTGCTCAGGAGCTGATGTTCAAATCTCCAAAGAGACTGAAAACTGCTCATCTGTAACAATGAGAAGTTTTGCTACCTTTCCCCCTCTCATGCAATTGCTAACAGGAGCAGTCAACAGTAGTCAATAGCTGTATTTTTACAACTTCACAGATTTTCCAGGTCATTTTTTCTGGCTGCCTGCCTGCTTCCAAGACAGCAGCTTGGCATTTGGGTTTAGGAGACCTTTGCTACATGCACCACGTACGGAGAGCTGTCCTGCAGCATCTCTAAAGGGCTTGTATCAGTACAGTGAGGTTGTTCTTAATGCTTGGGTTGTTTTTTTAGTAAGGGGACTCATAGGTGTACCCAATCCCAGCCAGCTGGGAGGCCCCCTCGTTGTGCTGCTCACCCAGAAATCCAACAGCAAAAGAAACAGTGAGTTTTCACCTCCTCTCATGTCTGATCAGCACCTGGGACTCAGGAGGCATCAGCAGCCCTGTATAAGCACCCTTTCCACACTGCTCCTCGCGAGGCAAAGGGGAAGAGGGATGCCAGCACCCAGGGACCACGGCTGCTGCATGAGTGGTGCAGTGCCAGATCACCGCCAGCGACGCCCGGGACCTGTCAGGTGAGCACGGGGGCTGGAGCAGGGCAGTTTCCCCATCACCAGCATGAAAGGTTCAATTAGCTCGCTCCGGCAGGAGGTATATAATTTTAGATTCAGGATATCATCAGTCAATAGTTAATGAGTGAACTGATGAGAGCGCAAGATGCTTTAAGTGGACTAGCTTGAAGAGGAGGTGAGTGCCTGTAATCAGGGGCGGATTACTGCCATTCAGAGCACACTGCCAGCTGGGTTTGCCTTCTGAAATACTTGCCTGGCTCCCCCCAGCATGGAGACTGGTCACACGAAGCATGTGGAGGGGGTTGGTTTGGTTTCTTAAGTGCTGATCTCTGGGCTGAATCACCCTTTACAAGTGTCATTTCAGGAGGACAGTTGCTGCAGGGAAGGGGAGCAACCTACATCTCCTGGACATTTTCCCCAAAGGGTGCTTTACTCATGTCGTGGCAAGGGGCTCAGACACAGTATCAACTGCTAAAGAAAACAATCTCACTGACTTTTTGGAAATTATTTTAGAATTACTAGTGCTATTTCAGTTGGAGAGCAATACTTGGTGACTGATATCACTACAGGAGTGGTATCTATCATAGAGAGGGGTCCAATATGAGAACAGTGCCCGTGTCCCCTTATCAATGACCATGCAGGGGTGAAAGACTAATTTGGCTAATTAATTCATCTACAGCTTTCTGCTGAGATGTACAAGAATGATAACAAGTAACAGCTGGTGTCTGTTAAGCCAAATAAATGCCTGTGATGGGGTGGGAAACCATTGCAACCTATGCAGCTGAGGTCTCAGCTGAACGATTGACTGGTTGCCCCACATCTGTGTGGGACACAGAGACATACACCCATCTGGAAAGCAAATCCTTTGTCTGATACCATAAGAGAAACAAAGTCAGCATCTGTCCAGCCTAACCCATCACAGTGCCCAGGTGACAGGTAAAGCCTGTGTAGAGGGCCCAGCGAAGCGGGCATCACCACTCCCCAAGCCCCAGGGTTTGCTCACCTTGTACAACGAGCCTGCCCTGCGCCGTCCTGCGCACCCGAGTGCCGGGTTTGTTCGCGGCGCACACGTAGATGCCAGAATGCTGCACGGTGAGGTCCGAGATCATGAGATTTCCTGTCCCCAGCACCTGGATCCCCTCCACACCGATCGGGCGGCCGTCTGGAAGAAGGGGAAAAGGGCGAGAGTCACACACTGGACCTTTGAGTGATGTTCTCCAGGGCACAGTCCTCAGTGAGGTCCAGTCTAAGTACTCATGGAGGAGTGGTGCCATGCTCTGGGATTTGCCAAGTCAAGTCAAGTGGGTTTTAGCTGATGCTCTTAGCAGAACTGCCTTCTGGAAAAAAATAGGATCCTCAGGTGTTTGCCCAAAACCAGACTTTGTGCTGCTTGGAAACCCAAGGTACCATCACAGGAAATGTGAAAGCTTTCAGCCACGTGTTCACATCAAGATGAAGCACCCAGAGCACTTTTCAACAGGACGGTTAAACAAAGTTAAATCTTACCAGCTTCTTACATTAGACTGAGCAGGGATCCAACCAGCTCAACCGCTTGCTCCAAACAGGAGCAGGGAAGGAGAAGACCAGCCAACCTACAGCAGTACTTCCCTGATTCACTCTCCCAGCCACCAGAAATTTATGACTTGGGGATTTCCTAAGCCAGAAATTATGCCTTTTTGCCTGCTTACCCTTGATGGATTTTTGTGGCTTAGGAAACTATGCATACACTGGATTTTTGATTCCTTAGCTCTTGGAACACACAATACCTCAGGGCCAAGGAGCCAAACTCTGAGCTGGTGGTTAGATCTGCTCAACTGCTCTGGCTTAGAAGGGCAACTGGAAAGGGCTGCCTCCATCCTGAGTGCTGGGTCTGAGGCAGGCTGGCAGGAGAGTGGTGATGTTTCCAAAAAACCACGCCTGGGCTCCAGCACAAGGTCTTCAAAATTGAAGCGCTTAACATGAAATAGTTCAGTATCAGGGAATTCACCTTTTTCCAACAAAGCCTGTTTTCACTGGAAAATTCCCAGCCAGCTCTAATTACAATGTGTTTCATTAGTATCAGGCTATTGCTTTTTATTGTTTCATTGGTTTGTGTTTTAAGACACCGTCTGACAAAGGCAGCTCTAAATCAGCCCTAGCATGTGTCAGGGTGTCTGAGCAGAGGGGCAAGGCAGGGGAGTAGTTTTACTGGAGGAGCAGTTAAAAGGAGCACACTTTCATCAGATGGGAAACGGGAACCCAGTTCCTCTCTTGCCTTTGCTCAAGGAGAAGGTTAAAGAACCTACAGAAATGGGAGAAGCAAGAACCAGCCCTGGTGATCTCTCCAGCTGTCCATCCCATGGGCACTCCATACACGTGTGGTCCGCAACAGTGGAAGAGCCTGTGTGCTATGCTTCAAAGCTGTGGCTATTAAAAGGAAAAAACAATCTGAAAAATTCCTCCTGGGAGCTCTACTGGTCTGTGCCGTAATCTTGCTAAGGAAATGGAAGAAGCCAAGTAAAATCAGAACGGCTTTGTAGCAAGCAGTGGGTCATGGGGAAAGATCTGAGATGCTCTAACTGGTTTCTACTTCTGTGGGCTACCTCCTGAGAGATGCTAGGTCATAGCTGTTCAACTCGCTTTAAAATTTATCATCACTCAGTGGGCAGAACAGTTTTCAGAGACGTCTGGTACTGAAGGACCTCAAGACTCAGGCTGGTTATCAATATTCATGGCACACAACCACTTCAGTGGCTGCATCTGGTGTAATCCAGCAATAGGAAATCTTTGTGAAAGACACAAGTTGCCATGGGGCTGCTGCAGTCACCCTGAGACACCCCATTATTCCCAAGAATTTCCTTCATAGCCTCTGCTGTACAACATGGTCCGTGATCAAGACCTGGCTCATGCCTGACCTTGGGCAGGCTTCATCCTTCAACACAAACAGACATGCAGGGCTAGTTAAAAGTTATCTTGCAATCGTATGCTTTAGATGTAATATCATGCTTTGCATCATAAAGAATATTATGAGGATCTGGTCCATTCATAACCAACAGGTTCTGGAACAGATTGGGAAAACATGAAAGCAAAGCAGCACTCAAGGGGAGGGACAAATTAACCATCAGCCCAGAAATGCCACTTTACAACATGCTGCCCACCAAGTGCTTGGATCCCCATGGCAAGGCACGTGATGGGAGGGAGAGCAAGTGTCTCTGGCAGCATTAGTGAGAGCAGCACACATTCATCAGCTTGCAAGCCTGGACCTTAGAAGCAAGGGATCCCATTTCAGGTTAACGGCAGCATCCTGCTAGGAAACACCGGCAAAACATGGACTGAAAGCTACAAAGCACTTCACAAACATATCTCCTGCCATGCTCTTTAAATACTGCTTTTCAGGGAATTTTTAAACTTACAGGTTTTCTTGCTTCATTAGGCAAGCAATGCCAGACCACTTCATTATTTGCATTGCAAAGGAAAATGCTGAGGTCTTTTAGAGAGAGAAAAACAATGTCATTAAATGATTAAACGATCACATAGCTGGCCAAGCCACTGCAGCAGTAAATGGCTCAGTCATAAAAAGGACAGTAAAACATGACCTGTCCCACATTTAATGAGCAATAAGAAGGAACCATTCCTTTCAAACATCATTTGAACTGAAGTGTAAAGAGGTCTGAATTAAATTAAAATTGAACTTGATATCATCTTTTAAATTAGACCTTTTGGAAGTCTGTATTTACAATAGGTGTAAAAATCAAATCTCTCTCTCAAGGGAGGGACAGGACCAGTGAAAGATGTGAAGTGGCCATACCTGGATGCTTCATCACATCATTGCCTTAAGAAATACCACAGAAATGTGACTTGAATGTCAGTAGTTTTACTGTATTATTTATAATGCGTTACATAATTTAAGCATGCAAAACCCCAGCCTGCAGCAGGTACGCCACACAGTCCAAATGCCTGCATCAATACATCCTCAGTTACCTCTCTAGTTCCAACTATTAATGGGAGGTGTGGTGGTCTGAAGAAACATCTCCTGTCAACCAAGCATCTTTCATTTCCCTGAAGAACAAAGATGTCCAAGCTCAGAAACCTCTGGGGACCCGCCATTTGATTCAGAGAGTGTGGCCACCCCTAACCGCCAGCAAAGATCACCGTGCCAGGTCAGCCCATATGCCTTTTACTCAACTCCTCCTTTCCTAAGTGTGCTGAAAAGAGCTTCTAGAGAAATCTCTCTACTTTCCCAGCTTGCTCCATCCTTCTTACACTACCATGCCTCACTCAACCTGAGCTGTCTTGTGATCAGTTAGAAGGTCTTTAGCTAATATCAAGTACAACTTAGTAGCACTGGCAACATATAAATAATACAGAGTATTTACACAAGAAATTCCTTGCATTCTGAAAGCTCAGAACTTTGCAGAAGTGCTGTGCAGAGGGACTGACATCTCACACCTGCTTTGCAAAGGTTGCTATCTATTTTAACCCTGCTTCCCTTACACAGAGACCTGAAGAGTGGCTTGGATCAAGGCATCCAAATCCTGAAACCGCATTTTCCTGGCATCACTTGCCATCACCAAGTCATCTCTCCATGCAGAACATCTGAAAGACTGAAAAGCTAACACTGTTGCTCAGTTCCCAAAGCTCTCAGGACCCACACAGGCTTGAAAGTGCTGCTCATTTAACATGAACTTCTTTTTATGAAGTCAAAAGCAGAAAATCTGAGGGCTGAAAACAAGTCAGTCTGGGTAGAAATGTCTGACAGATTCTCTCTGTCAATCCTCAACTGATGAGGGCAGAGGGAGGAGGTTCAGCTGGTTGTGAAGAGCAGGCGGACAAGCGATTAATAAAGGAGACCATTCTCCAAAGGGGACGTGATCCCCCAAAAAATGCTCTGGCTATGGACAAGTAAAGGCTTCCAGGTTCCCCACTGGGGTGATGTCTGGATGAAAGACGCATGCAGTTTGGGAGCTGCATTATTTATTTTTCCAAGGTGTATGTGATGCTTTCTGGAGATCGCTCTCCGCCTGCAAAGCAAGTGATTGGCACACCAGCACCAATTACAGAGACCCGTTAAAACGTGCCAGGCGATATGAATATGCAACAACACGAACGCCTTTCTTTTATAAGTAGCAACTAGAAAGAAAGTAACAACTTTCTAATGTTGATCATTTAGGTCTTTTGTGAATTCTTTGTATTGTGCCATAGTAGCCTTCCACTTTTTAGAGACATGGGTCTCCTGCTCTGGCGGACACTGGGCACTGTGGATTAGCATATTTAGAGTACATTGCAACAGTTGACTATTCAGTATGTGAAGTGGTGAAATTTACTCTATTATTTCTAAACACTTACGGGAACGGTGCTCCTGTCAACCAGTCAGCCATCTATTGCAAGCTTCTGTGTCCAATAAGTTACCAATTAATTGGCTCCTACAATTGTTGTATAGTTTACTTCTTGAATGGCTCCCTCTTTAGTAATTTCCTTCCCATTGTGCGACCCTTTCTGACAACTTCTGTATAACGCTATCAGATAATCACTGTCTTTTCTTTCTCGCCTCACTTTTCTCTATCTCTCTAAATAGTTTATTATTCTGCCTTGGTACCTTTTATGGAGGCCAGCTCAGTGGCCTGTCAGTTAAAGGGTAAGGATACATTAAAATCGTCATTCATTCAAAAGGCTTTGCAGTAAGTGCCCAGGATATTCATTTGTGCACACATACAGGTCCAAGCCTGAAGTGCGTAGCTCTGAAAGGAAAAGCCCTATCTTCCCTGAACAAACCCTTAATGATTTTACATTTCTCTCAGAGCCTGCTCTCTAATGAATGTTGACATTTCATGCAGGGCGAGACACAGGAATTCTGTTTGTGGTCAGGGGCTACAACATATTCCCAAGGAAATTAAATTCAAAATTGATTGTGTGACACAAAAACTGGCCCAGAATTTGAATTATTTCCTTCAAGAAAAATATACCTGCCTTTCCCACTGAAAACCAGCCAGGTTTTAGCAAGGCCAAAGCAAAAAGTGCAAGTGTTGTTTATGGCTTCCTTTCCCCTGCACCAGAAAGCTGTAAAAGCAAAATTGTTCTTTTGGTCCTTTCTGATAAAAGAAATGCCACAACATCAAAACTGTGAGCAAAGGGGTTCAGAGAGACGTGCCGAAATGGAAGCTTACCTTGTGCAAAGACCCAGCACAATAGCAGTGCCACGACTTTTCTTTATTTTGACAAGGCAAGAAAGATGTTCACATATAATTCACTTTTTTTTGTTTAAATTAAGTCAGGCCGATTGTTAAATCATCTGCATCTGTCTAAGACTTTGTGGCCACGGATTTTTTTATTTCCGGGAGTGGATTAAAAGTGGGTTTTTTCCTCCATTTGGTATATTGACTGGTTATTTAAGTAAACCAGCTCTGTAGGAGGAATGTCAGGAAGAAAACCTTCATATGGGAGGAAGCCACACGTACAGATGACAGACACTGGGAAGACCTCCCCGTCCAGCATAAACCCCTCTCCCTCCTTCTGATCACACAAACATGAAGACATGAAAGCGCTTCCAAAGTGTCTACAAAGAGATGACAAACCCACCAACTCATCTGAGAGTCTGTACACCACATCACTGTCAAGATCAGTGTAATACTAAACAAGATCTTGTGATGCTCTGGACAGGAAACATTCCTGCTGAAGCGGAGGGAAAATAACAGCATGTCTTTCCCATTCCGTAGCTTTAATTCTGCTGCTGTGCTGCAAAGCAGCGTGGAGAGGGTATTTATTTTTGGTGGAAGGCAATGCTGGGATCAGACCATCCAGACAAACATTGCACAAAGCTATTACATCTCCATTATTGCACTGCTCTATAGAGACAAGTGTTTTGAAGAAGGTAATAAGCACTTATAATTAAGGCAATTATAAAGTAGTTTATTATATTTGAGCACTAACACAGAGCTGCCTTGTGTCCAAAAGAACCAAAACAGTGATACAGCCTATCTGGGGAATTTTTAAAACAACATCAATCTGATGGTTATGGCTCTGGAGGAAAAAAAAAACCAAACAGTTAGTGGCAGTCACAAGCTGATTTTACAAGCCACCAGAGGATGCAAGCAGGAGGGCAAACATGGAGAGATCGTGTGATTGATTCTGGATATGTGTCCTCATCCCCTGGCAGATGGCTCTCGAGTGGGAAGTCACCCTTCCCATGAGCTGGACCCTGACCCTGGGAGAGTCCCAAATCCAGCACAGATGAGACAGGATTACCCCTGTTCGTGCTTCACAGCCACCCTGGGGGACTTGGGGAGATTAGCATCCCAAAAATGACGTGACCTCGCAGACCATGAGGGCTTGGGAAATACTAACTGAACCCAACCCCACAGCACACAGACACGGAGTTACGGGCTCTGAAAGGTAAAACAAAAACCATCAGCTCTTTGCTCAGCAGACTTCTGTAGGGCAATGGAAGTGTCGCTCTCAGCAAAATAGTTTCCGAGCTACTACCACAAAGTTAGAGCCTAAAATAACCCTTGATTTCAGACTGGGAGAGACATGGTACTTTGCTCTTCCTTGCCTGTATGATGCCATCAGACACTGCCTCTGGTTTCCATGCTGATTAAAAAAACATATCATAGACCCCAGCAGCAAGCATTTGCTTTTTCTGAGCTTCAGACATTCCACTTTAAACATTTTCTCCTCTCAACATTTTTTTAAAACTCACTGAACAGCCAGCAAGTTTCTTTCAAGTCTGTTTTACGTGAAAGATGTGTTTGTGTATGATTTTGCTTCTCTGGGCCAACAGTGGTGATGTTTTTGATGCAGCTAAAGAACACGCTGTCACTTGAGGAAAGATAAAATTATCACCTTTCATGAAATGTCTACAGGTTTAACCAACCCACTTCTCTAACAGGTAAAAACAGGATCTTGGCAGAAAATAAAAAACAAAGTGTAGACATGAGGATGAAAAGCACTTCAAGCCTACAATTGACTTCAGTAGGAAGGGAAAGGGTGAATCACTTGTTGCATAGAATAGTCAGTGGCACCTACCTATTTCCCATGTGATGGCAATGGAGAGGAGGAGGAGGAGGAGGAGGAGGAGGAAATCCCAGTCACCCTTGGGGCTTACCTAGGCGGCTCCAGGAGACGATGGGCCGGGGGTTGCCTGTTGCAATGCACTCCAGCACAGCGGTCTGGTGCACCGTCAGCGTGAGGTTCTCTGGACCGACGAGAATCATGGGGTCCTTGTAAACAGTGGAATGGGAGCCTGCAAGGACAGTACCATCGTTAAAAGTCATCTGATTCTCTCCTGTTTAATGGAAATACTCTAAGTACGAACGTTGCGGCTGGTGTAATTCTCAATACATCTGAGATGTACATGAAACAAAAGGAGCACAATGCTTGCATGACAGTCATGTTGTCTGAATGTGTTTTAAGTGTGTGCTGATATTCCTGGGGAAAACCCATCAGCCAGCCGACCCAGCCACAAGCAGCACTGTTAGAACTCAGATATGGGCAGCACGAAGGAGGAACCGCGCTGTGAACTGCAGAGAGCAGGTGTGCAGGAAAAACATGGTATGTAGGGAAGACACGAGCTGCAGGACAGTTTGTGCAGACAGGAATGCAAAATAAATGAAGAAGTTGCTTTATCTTTCAGCATCTGAAGCCAGAAAGTAATCCATGCGGCCCACAATGCCTAAATCTGCCTCTCTGTGAGCATCCTCTCTTGCTGCTGGTGTCATTTGCTCCAAAAGCGCTGTCCTGAGACACAGCGAGTGATGGAGGTGCCAGTCCCTGACTCCTGCTGAGGATCTTTTTGAGAGAAAACTCAAGGAAACTCCTTTGATGACTGCAGCCCACAGGGTGGTCATGTCCCTGCCTCCTACAGCACCCCTATCCTGGCCCACTCCAGTGTAACTGGGTGCAAGAAGATGCATCCCATTGCTCTGATATAATTGCAATATAACCATTGCACACAATGCAACCACTAATCATTGATTTGCACTACAGTAGCACCAAGCAGCAGCAACCAAGAATTAAATCCATCGTACAAGATGATGCATAGACCCATAATAAAATAAAGCCCTGGCACAAGGACTCTGGAAACAAGACAGGCACAAGACAAGCAAAAGCAACCACACTTCACCAGACAGGAGGAGACTGCGAGACAAAAACATCATCCTGTGTCAGGTATACCACAGCCGAACCCACATCTCCCGAGTCCCCAAAAAGTGCCTTATCCTGGACCAAAGGTCCCTCACTCCCATTTGTTGGGAGCAAGAGAGGAGGAAAAGAAGGAGATATGCTCAGATCTCCATAAGTAAACAGGAACACCAATAATCTCTGCATTAGTCTTTTCCCCATTTCTGACAAGAGCTGAGTTATACTCCAGAAATGCTGAGGTCAAGCAGTATTTAAGGAATTTCAACAATCTGACAGCTGCTGCTGGCAAAAATGGTCTGTACACCTGCAGAGAGAAATACTTGGGGTGGTTGTCTCCCACTGAGCAGGAGAGGGGCACAGCAGGGCTGGGGAGCTGAGCTCTGCCACATGGAGGTCTTTGCTATAGGGACCATCCCATGCTGGCTCCTGTACATGGACTTTCCGATGTTCAAAAAGCTTGTTGAAGAGAAGTGATCCACCAAAAACTATCTGCAAGGGGTTTTCTACAAGAAAAAAAAATATTTTCTTCCTGTAATTTTTAGCATTACCCTTTCACAGCAGTTCAGGGGCTGAAGTCAGGGTGTTAGCAGGGGGATTTTGCAGTGGGGTCCAAGGGCAAACACAGATCAGAGCGGCTCCTTTGTTAATCGTTCCTACAGGGGCTAAATGGGGAGCGATAAAGCGACTCAGAGGTTATGTCTAAATGGGCAAAATCCAAGAAAAATCACCGTGTCAGTGTGACTTAAGAGTCGACTTTCTCACTAAACACATTTCACTGCAAGCCATAAAATGCAGATTTTTTGATGAGAACCAGAATGCACAATAAATTCATATGACCGCCTGGTTAACCCCGAGAGATCTGAAAAACAATACCTTCCCCCTCAGTAACTCAGAGTGCCTTTAAAACCCATGTAGATTTATTGTTCTAAATCACAATACTAAATGTTTGAGCTTAGAATAATATGATATTATCATCATATTATAGAGTGATTTCAATATTTCAAAACACAGAGAAACTAAATTAATTGTCCAAGGACACCCAACAATATTAGTAAATGGGAGCTGAGAGCAAAGGAGAATTTCTAAAACACTCTATTTTGACAATAAACTATATAAAAAAAAAATCATACGCTTTGATTTATACTCTGTGTCCTAAATAGGCATTCAGGTTTTTGGGTGTGGGCTGACTGCCCAGCTCTGGAAGTGGCATTTCTACCGCTGCTCACCGTCTCCTGCCAAGGCCACGTAATGGTTCCTTACGGTTTTGCTGCCTCCTCGATATCGAGCCCAACGCCCACGGCAGGGTCAGCTCCAGGGCCAGAAGGGACAGTGACCCAGCAGGGATGCGGCAGTCAGACGCCAGCACCATGCAAAGGGGCTGACTGTGCCTGACCATCGGGGAGGAGGTTTCCTTCTCCAACAAGAAAAACTCTTTGATGCAGGGTCAGGAAGGAAGGAGTGACAAAATGAGGGACTTGTGGCAGGCGAGCACTACTGGAGCACAACAGGGTTCAGGGCAACGCGGAGGGGATTTATTCTGAAAGGGAAAAAAGGCTTTAATGATGCACGTGGTCCCCAGGGACACTGCCAGCAGCAATCGCAGGGAGGATGGGGAGGTCCCCAGCACCACCAGGAGTGACAGGCACTCTAGCAGGGACAGGAACGTCACCAGCACAGGCTGTTAGATCTTGATCAAAAGGACAGCAGCAGAGAGAGCCGCAGCTTGCACTGAAAAGGTGTCAGTGCAGAGGCAGGCAGCCCCTCGGGAGCATCTCCGCTAAGCAGGCACTTGAAAATAATCAATCACCAGGGCTGGAAGATATATCCGTGCCGCTCGCTGCTGGCAGCCCCGCCACCGCTGCCAGCAAGAGGAAGGAAAGTGCTGTGAGCAGGCTCCTTCGTCCCCCACAGGCAGCCATCCTCTCCAGACAGGCTGTGGAAGTGCCCTGCAGGGCAGGGGGCTCCCAGAGCCCATCTCCATCCTCTCCCTCCTCCACCCCCAGCCAGAGCTCAGTTTGGAAACCCCGGTGAGCCAGACCTAGTGCTCCTCTGGGGGTGAAGCAATGGCTGAAGTTGCTGCCTTGTTAAGAAAAGAGGGAGCCCTCCTGCCACGACGAAGAGCAGAGAGCACGATTCCCTTTACCCCTCTACACAAGAGGGAGGCAATGGAAATATTTGCAAGATTACTGCTTCCTCCAATCATGCCTAATGACATGTGCACAACAGTACTCACATTAGCTCAGTATTTACTGACACAACACCCACATCAGTGAAGCAACGTCCCTGTGCTACCTCTGTGGCACACCATAGCCTCTGCCGGTGTGCCAACGCCTAGGATTAGCATGCTAGCACATACCTGCTGTCCTGGTCTAACAGATATTTGTGTGCTCTTAGCAAACACCACAGAACAGAAACCTTTTTCACTGAGGTTTAAACCAGTGCAATGGGTTTTCCATGGGCTGAGAGCATGCAAATGTCCCGTTACGGCAGTTCTGCTGACATGCGGTCACTGAAGCATGGTCCAAGCCCTTCAACAGACACTTACACACGGTGCCTGTATTCATCATCCGACTGCTTTAAGGAAGAGAAAAACCACAAACATTTCACAGACAGGAAACCTGGAAAATATCCATCTGAAATGAGGGATGGCCAGATGAGAACAAGTAGCACTTTCTGCCCTGCGAGAAATAATAACTCAGACTGGTAAACTGACACAAAGAACTTCACCACATTGATAATTTACTGTTCTTTTTAACTTCCGTGTGGCTACTGTTCACACAGATCAAGAGAACAAATAAGTAACAGACATAAGAAGCTCCCAGGTCTTTCAGAACCAGTTAACCTGCTTTGTTTCCCCATCAGAGTTGATATACACAGCATCACTCTCTCCTCAGCTTCACCCCATTTCACATGTGCTGCTTTTTTACAGTTAATCTGACATTTGGTACAGGCATTAAACCTCCTACTCCAGCACCGCTGGCCAGGCAGCTGTTCTGGGGGCTGAAGGCAGGCTGTGAGACATGAGTGTACACTGGCAAGCCTCCAGCCACCGGGTACCAACCATTATATATATCTGATGGACAGGAGGATCACAGCTTATGGGGAGGAAGACACTTTGCTGCAAATAAAAAAAAGCTCACAGAGAAACACATGCCCAACCAGCCTTGTGCAGACTTCCCTTGCGTCTTATCTCCAAAGCTGTCATCTCCATTTCTACAGGGAACATGGGGATGGTGCCCCACTGCAGAGTCACAGATGCATCACCACTGCTGTCACAAGGGACCACAGTGGGTACCCAGCATCTCAGGGGGGGTTCTGATCTGCATGGAGTCCTGTATCTCAGACAGGATGTCCCCTGCCAGTGGGACACAGCCACAATTTGCAGGTGACTACTCCTTCAGCACTCTTATCTTCTCTGAAGGTAACCCGCAAATGCTCCGAAGTTCAGGAGAGGCAAGCTGTCCTGTTTTCATACAAGGAGGTTGAGCATATCAAAGGCATTTCTGAGAAGAGGGCACAAAGGTGTCATTCACTCCTGGCTGCTTGATCGGGCTGGGTTGTAAGATTTGACTTAATACTTCCCACTTCCTTCATACTAGGAAACTTGAAACATCAAGGGAGACTTCTGAAGCTAGAAGCGTTTTAATTTAAAAAGACTGGCAAATGAAGAAAGCCTAATTAGAAGGTAACAATCTAACCTCAGGTTTAGAAGCTCAAAGGGGCTCCAAGAGATCAGCTTGTGTCCTGCATGGACAGCTAATGGTGGATGGGCAATGGGCAGGTCAGCAGAGGACAGCTCTGCTACGGAAACATGGCAGTGTATTTGCACCCTAATCCTTCCTTCACTGTGCCCAGGGTCATCAATTCCACATGTCATTTTGTGTGCTTCCACAAACAAGTCAAACTTATGCACGTGAAAAGCGTGGATGGGGGTTGATTTGGTTTGCCCTTATAGCCTCATCACATCCTACCTCTGGCAGCATGAAACCAAACAGCAAGTACGTGATCTGGCCCTTTTTTTTTTGGAGAGGAGACCATAAGCACCGTCATTTCTTCAGCTGAAGCTTTCTGAGGTGAAAACCTGTTTCAGCCACTGACTTCCAGTGTGGGTTGAGAACCAAGTCAAGATTTGGTCTGGGGTGCTCAGGGCTTTTCCTTTGCATCTTCCAAAGACAGGTTAGCCTGCTTTGGTCACAATGCAATGCTAACAGCCTACAGAACATAATTCCCCCATTAGATAAATAATTGAGCACCCTGTGTGCTGCAATTACTTCCAGAGTGAGCAGGTCTCATAAGGAAATGATGAATCTTCCACATTTCCAAAAGAATTTATTTAATGTAAAGCTGCTGGAACTCATTTTCTCACCATCCGCCCTCTACCTAGAAATTGGTGCTAATTCACAGGCAGAGAGACAGATTTATCTGGTATCAAATGGACTGATCTGGCAGGAATTAATAACAATCCAGAACAGGGCAGGTGTTATGGCTGGACAGAGGAACGCTCTCAGTGCTGTTAGCCTGGAGCTCTCTTAAACTGTCCTGGTCCAGAACAATAGCAGGAAGAAGAAAACAGAAGGACAGTCAGGACAGCGCTTACTGGTACTAACCTGACACGGTAAGTCTGGCCTCCCGGCTGAACTTCACATTAGCAATATTGGTAGCAACGCAGTGAAAAATCCCACTGTCTTCTGCCCTCAGTCCCGTAATCTGCAGGACCCCTTTGGGAAGCAGTGTGTACCTGAGGGAAGAGAAGAACAGAAACAAAAACTTGCAAAGCAGGACGTGATGTGAAAGCAGGCTGCACACCCATGCAGCTGAGGCAGGCTGGCTCCCCACGTCCTGGTGCAGAGGTGCCAATACCACCTGAGTGATGCAGCCCCTGGCAGGCTGAGCCCACACTCATCACTGCATTAGTTCTGGGTTTTGTTTTGTTTTGGGTTTTTTTTTGATACTTGAGCTGCTTCTGATCTTTTTTTACACGGGGGCACGTTCCCTTTCTTTATCTTTTGATGCATCCCTGAGAAAGGATAACTTTTGCTGGAAGGCTACGAAGTAGAAGCTTCCTATTTAACCTGTGGAAAAGCTTTGGCAGTGCATTTACATGTGAAAACGGCTGAGGTAGGAGTTACCACTCATCAGCTGAAGCATGGTGACCATGGACAAGCATCAGGAGAAGTGTGTGTTCCACGCTCCCAGCTCCAGGTCCAGGATGCAAATCCACATGACCTTAAAGCCTCAAATGCATGGAAAGGCATGTCTAAATAGATATTGAGTGGGCATACATAAGTATCAATAAATATTTTATATTTTTAAATCATAGGTACATTTAAATCATGCATGCATACACACATATTTGTATACATACATTACAGGTTGCTTGGCAACCATGTGTTTAAATTGGCTGGTAGTAAGTCATTACACTGTGATGAGTTAATAATCCATTTCCGTCTGGAAGATGAAGAATAGCTTTTTCGATATCAGCATATGGTTAAGTGCCTATAACCTGCTCCCTGCGCTGGGTTCCGAACGCGCGGCTTGGTGTCAGTGGCAGCGTGACAGCAATCAGTTTTACATGTCCTGAAGTTGATTGCAATCTCTCTGGGACTTTAAAATGCCCATTGTTTTGGATGAATTATACCACAAGAAGCCTTCATTTTTGTTAACAATCTGCCCACAGCATTAGAAGATTCAATTCCAAAGCTATTATTCTGCCTTCAAAGCCTCCAAGTGCAAGACTCAGCATACAAATTTATATACACTTTATACGCAGAAATGCACAAAGCGTGATTAATGCAGAAATCCAATTCAGTTAGAGAAGCAACCCTCATCACCCAGGCCCGTTGGTGTCAGAGATTAATCTACTGAGCTGACAATAAAAATCCTTCCTTGGTAACATTCCTCCTATAAAAAGCCAAATCTGTTCAAAATCAGGTCACTGAACATAGGGAAACTGCTTTTAGCTGATATTCTCCAAGGCTTGGGCAAGCTCCTTGCCCCACTGGAGCAGCAGCGGGGATTAGCACGGTTTGGGGCTCTCTGGGTTGGAGAAAAGTCTTGGCTCCTCAGTCCTGAAGCAACTCAGTCTCAGAGAACAGAAGTCCTGGTCACACTCATACCCCTGCCACATGTCTAACCATCTCCACACCCATGACCCTGGGTTCAACTGGAAAGAGGCAATAATGCATGAGGGACTTCAAGAGAACTACACCTATGCTGCAACAGCTCATCAGGATGCGCACAAGGCATCAGGCCCAGTTCTGCATCCCCCGCTTCTGCTGATACCACCTTGGACCAGTCGCTCTGCTCTGCCACATCCCCAGTTTTGCACTTGTGTGAGTAAGGAGCCTTCAGAGGAGATCAAGTTTAACGAATCAACCTTGTGCTGGGCTAAAAAAAGCTCAGATGAAAAACACAAGGAAAGACAAAACCTGACAGTTGCAGTTTTCCACAGCACGGTTGGGCCTCTTGGGTCCTTCTACTGTAAGTTCACTGTAACACTGAAAAGGTCAGGTATTGTTCCAGCCCTCATGTTTTCTCCTGCCTCCAAAGAACCCAACCACGTTCTGCTGCAGAACTGACATTTTTAAGAATAGGGGCTTTCAGGAAAATATTTACAGCTTCCTGGTTTCGCCTATTCCCAACACACAGGCGTTAGCTCGCGATCGAGGTGTGCTGCGACTGATTGTCTCCCGCCATCGGTTGTGCGGCTCCCGAGCCACAGCTGGGACCGCCGGAGGCTGCTGGCACGGAGCATGCGTTTCCTGCCACCTGTCCCCCGCCGGGCCCCACCGCCGCTCAGAGGATCAAACCGTGATGAGGGACGTTTCCGACGCGAAGGGAGCAGCCTGTCAAACACAGGAAGCGAGGACGTGCCGTCCCAGGTCTAGGCTGGGGAAGGGGGGCAGCTGGGGTTTCTCTTTAGGAGGGCTGCACGGGAAATAGCAGACCAGGGTGCTGGCAAGATGCTCTCTGCGAGGCTCCCCTACTGCCACACACAAGGGAGTCCACCTGGGAAGGAAAGTCTAGCGGCCACGGTATAATTCAACGCTTGCAAGAGTTCAGGACCCACACGGAAGACCTTAAAGTCATGGATCTGGCTCGGAAAGAGTTGCACAAAAAGGGGGCCATGAAGGGATGATGGATGCCAAAGCTATCCCGGCTCTGCTAGGATCGCTGGGTGGGCTCTTCACACTGCAAAGTCAACCTGGAGGAGGGCTGATACTCTCAAGGAAGGTCAATGCAAGCCCTTGCTCCCTCCAAAATTAGCTAGAGGGGTTTATCTTGCTCTCCTGGGAGATGCAGTATTTCTGCACAGTGTTTGGCCAGAAGGAGCCCAGACAACCCACAGAATTAAATGAAAGGGTCTTCCATGGCAGAAACGTTGGCCAAGACCCTCAGCCCAGATTAGTTGTGTCCTAACACAACTGTGAGAGCAATAGCAAGCCTAACCACCTTTTCCCCCTGGAGAAAGGACAGCAGTACATGGCTTGGACATGTCCTACCTTTCGTTGTCTGTGTTGACCGGCATGCGATTCTTTTGCCAGAGGATGACTGGTTCAGGCAAGCCGTGGATCTGGCACTGGAATCTCGCTACACCACCTTCCTCCACCACTGCGTTTTGAGGGTGGATGTGGAAGTCAGACATCGCTAGGAGACAAAAAGAGAGACAAAAATAGTCACACGTAAAGAGAGATACACTGTCGACAACTTCACATGACCTAGAAACACCCCAATCTCCCAGAGCTAGCAAAGAGGATTATAAGGCAAGAACAGAAGGCTGGTTTGCAGCCTAATCTCCTGGATGGAGAAATAGGACTAGTGGCAAGACCTTGCCATGCGTCTGCCTCTGCGCGTTGAACTGATTGATTCAACCAGGACAGAAGATGGTGCTCCATGACTCACATGCTCCACAGCGAGGTCTACGGGTGCAGCAAGATACACAGACACTGCACTGGCACTTATGGGAGGTCATTCTCAACAGCTTCAGCAGGTTTTAGAACCAAGTTCACATCAGGAAAGCGATGTCTATCCTTTCTGTTGCTGCCAGTGTCTTATCTGCTGTAAATATCCTTTTGATGTGCATAGCTTGACTCCTAAACTCATTTTGTTTAAAATCCCTTGACCAAAAGGGCTCCCAGATACCCTAGTAAAACTTATAGCCCTTGATTTCCATCTCTGCTTGGCAGGTGCTTCAGCTCATTGCATACTCTGCCTTCCAGCACCGCAGAAGGAACGGTCACATCCCCACGCTGTAGAGCAACAGGCTTCAGCCGACAGAAAGAGCAGCTGCCAAGAGCTCAGCAAACCAAGGCTTTTGGGGTTGGGACCACCCGATAGCAAATGACAAACCTCAGCGTGCCCACGCAGGGTGAATACAGACCAGCCTGTTTCAGCACAGCCACAGCTGTAACCATTGTGCGGAAAGACTCCTGCATGCTGTTAGAGCTACATAAATAATACAGTAATTATTACTATTAATTAATTGGAAGGTGCTGCCTGTTGACTCTGCAATAAACATATTCGAAGCTAATAAACATCCCAGTGGTTATTTAGCTCATGATTCATTTATAGTGCTGCATCCGTGGGAAGATCTCTCACATTATCATACCAAATAAACTCCAAGAGAGCCTCTTGCTCTGCCGCCCCAGCCTGATAATATCCCTCTCCCCAGCAAGAAAGACTCATCCCCTTTTACATGCATCAAGTGTAATGAATGTACCTCTGCTAAGGGACAAGCTGCGTATGTGTCAGGGCAGCTTAATCATTCATCTGCAAACTCCAGTTGGGCTCAGGCAGATGGGAGATGGCCATTAGCAATCATACATTAAATATGTGTTGCATTAACCTGCACTGCTCCCGCAACCATTGCTCTCAACCCGCTGGCTGCAGATTTGTTAAGCTGATCGAGTAACATTGAGCAAAGCTCCAGCCCCACACGGTTGTAGGGTTGGGAAGGTTTTGCAACAGGGGACGGGTGGCCAGCCCCAAATCGGGATGCACCGATGGGAGCAGGACCGGGAGGTGGCTGCGCAGTGCTCCAGCCAGATAGGAACACACCAGCACAAGGCGAAAGATCATGCAAGATTATATTTCCCTTTCCCAAAATGAAAGCTAATACAAATATCCTCTCCGGTAAGGGATGGAGCCCAATGGTGGAATAGCAATTTACCCATTTCACACAGATTTAGCCTTGAAATGAGACTGTTCCTGGCCCAGAGCACTCAGCCATGTGGGAAGGAGCCCAAAGGCTGCTGGAGGGTTGTCCATACCAGGTGATTCCCCTTCCAAGGTGGCAAGGGATGCTTCAAAAATTGGGGTGTCCATGGGTGCCCGTGGCAGGATATCTTGAGGGAGCCTGCAGAATATTTCAAGGTTGCCATTTGGAGGTCCAGACCAGGGCGAGCATCTTGCAACCAAAGCTTATAAACTCTCACCAAGAAATGAATTCAAGAATTAATGAGAAAGACACAAAGCTTGTTCATAAAAAAAAAGCAGATTCAGATGCCTGCAGGAAAATTCCTTTCAAATGTACAGATGCTCAGTGCTGAGGTTTTTCAGTGGCTGACAGGGTTGATAAGAAGAGGGAGGTGTGAATGAGAACAGCCCCAGCACAGACTTCGCTCTGCTGGCTACAGAATTCATTGCTGTTCCTTTATTTCAATAATATCACCTCTTATAGGTAAAACTGCAGCAATAACCTCTATTCTTAAAGACACTAGTATTAATATTTATCATGAATAAAACATGGAAGTTATAAATAATTCAGTTATGAGGATGTTAAGTAAAATATTACTCTTCAACGACCCTATAATGTGGCTTTGAAGCACAGTTTCATGTTAAATGCCTAGGAAACACTGTGACCCTTGCCAAGACCAGCTGGTTTGCAGAAGATGCATTAAAAATTCATGCACTGAGCTACAAAATGCTATTTTTAAAACAGGTTTACGAGTTTATTTACAGTTGCAGAGACAAAAGCTTTTGTAGCATCTCCTGTAAAACAGCAGCAAAACTTGAACGCGAGTGATTACCTGGGATGCTGTTTTCAGCCTGGAAATAAATCACTGGGTGTACGGAGAGGAGGGGGATAGGAGGCACAGCTGCTTTGCAGGGCATCGCTTGGAGGGGCGAAATCTCTGCTGACCCACACGAGATTTTTATATATGTCCCAAGTGACTGTAACAAATTCATACAGAGGAGTGCTTGCTCCTATTTGTCACTTGTTTTTCAACAGCAAATGCCAGGACCCCTGTTATCAGCCGGGCACTATTGTCTCAGCTGCCACAGAGCAGAGCTACACACCAGCCCGGGTGGGTTGGCCAGCAGCCAGGGAGCTGCATCTCATTTCTATGCTAATGGCCATAATAATTTTAAAAATAAATACATGTAATCACCATATTCACCCACGAGCTCCTGAGAGGGGAGGCACCCTCTAATCCATCTGCCCATGGCCTCCATCATCCAGCAACGCAGCATCCACGTGCCAGTGGAGGGACTGGTGCTGCCCCAGGCCCCTTTTACTGTCATCAGACAGGGTGAGTGCCACCCTGTCCCCATTAAACTTCCCTCTGCTGTTGCCATGTGTAGCATGGTACTGTCCACACACATAGTGAGCACAGGGTAGTCATCAAGCCATAAAATCAACCTAAACCACACGCACGCTCACTGCTCCATACTGATGCTCCAAGCCATGGTGTCTCAGTGCTTCTGCTATCATCACATCCGGGCTTTGGCCACGGTACACACAGCCTGGCACAGGACAAGGAAAGACAAAAGAAAATGGGCTCACAGCAGATGGGGAATGGTCCTAGCAGCCCTCTCATACTGCAGGCGTGGGTGAACCTCCTCCCAAAGACGTTGGCCAAGGCTAGATTCAGACTGAGTTGTCTACAGCCACACTGACACATAAGGCAGGAGTCCCTCTTCATCTCTCCCTCCCCTGTGCTGTACCACGGAGGACCTCAACTAGGATGAGGTTGGACCACAGGTGAGGCTCTTCCCTAATGAGAACCCCATGCTTGGGATCTCCCACCACCTAACCCCCACTGGGATGCAGTCCCCAAAGGCATATCCTACAGACACAGAGCAGGTGAGCAGCAACTCTTATCCTCATCCATATTTATAGATGGATTCATTCTGGCAAACAAATTTGCTAGGTCTCCCCTAATCAAAGCGCAAATACTCTCTCCTCCATCCTAACGGGCCCTGTGGAAAGGCCAACAGAATAAAAATGAAAATAGGTATCGAGTGAAATTTTCTTTACTCCATGAAAAACGAAATTGAAACCATTAGTGGCCAATCCTTTTTTGCTCAGCACAGCATTAGTGCTAAGCCGGAGATTGACCTAGATTTGATATAGAAAAAGAAAACATTAACTTGGTATGTCAAAGCAAATCCCAGGCCTGTTAGAACCATTAAAACACAAACATTATTATCAACTGCAGGCACAAGGGGAGGAAGAAGACTTAAAAGGTTCAGTGCCAAGCACGGTGTTAGGAGAGTATTTCAGAAGTCCAGCTAGTTCTGCAACCACATTGCTTTTTGCTTTTAAATTACTTATGAGGGAAACAGATACCCACGTTGGCTCTGACACAAGAGAGAATGCTGAGGAGTTGAGCATCCTCATCGCCACTGACACCAGGCAGTCCACAAATGATAGCCCACAAGCAAAGACTCTTTCTCTGCATTTCTGCCACCCACCTGTTAAATTCAGACATCTTCCAGTGCAGGCACATGGTTAAAATGCCTCAAAGTTGACCCAGTACAAGGAACAAGAGTTGAATGGGGACGTGCCTCCAGTATCTGGGCCCCTAGATGCCCCTGCTAAGGACAGCAAAATCCATTAGCTCCATCACAACTGATGAAGGTGAAGTCTTGGAGGCAAATGGTTTGCTCAGTGTGAGAGAATAACCCATGGGCAAAGCCGACCCCTTCCAAGAGTGGCTCCATCCTGATACCAGTGACAGCTGCTGATTTTCATACTGAATTTCCCAATAAAATTTAATTTCCCCTTGGGTCAGCAGAAGTCAGGATCATTTTTTAAACATAGTGACCACCACACCAATTAAACCCAGACTTAAACCACTCTCAAATCAGCCTGACAGCTCCAGCAGAACCAACCCTCGGTATCTGTAAGATTTATTAAGCATCCATCCTCCCTGGCACCACAACTCCTTCCCAAATGCTTTCCCTGACCCAAAGCAAGCAGAAAGATTACATCCTCTTCCATTCCCTGCTGATTTAGGAGACCATCACCATTAAGTTAGCAGCCTGCCAGGGAATATTTTCAAGGAGGATGTCAGGTGAAGGCTTGGCAGACACAGGTCTCATGTTTGCTCCCCTTTGCACTCTGGAAATGGAGGATTTCCCTGTAAGAAAGAGCCACTACAAAAGATGGGGGGCGTATGCACACCACAAATCCCATCCTCTCCTCTCTTCCCCCCACTTTCAAACAGGCATGCCTTCCCAAGTCTCTCAGAAAAAGACACCATATCTTCTTTCTCTAAATTTTTTTTAAAGATGCATTTTTATAAAGATTAAAAAAAGCCCATGTCACAACAACCCAGTGGCTACTCCAGCTGCAGAGCAGCCTCCGCGCCTGCGAGCCGGCCCTGCGTGTCTAATGATGCTATTGTGCGAGGTTGTTGCTG